CGCCACGCGCCGCCCCTCGCGCCGCGGCTGTGGGTTTTCTCAGATCCTGCTTTTTGCTTCGTTTTTGAAGTCCATACATGGTTCTCGACCCCCAAACGAGATCCCGGCTTAATCCTTTGGGCTTTTTACTCAGACTTCAAAACTCCAAATAGCTCGAATTCATTCCATAATATCTACATAGCTCGGAATCACTCCTACACGGCATAAAACATGCAAGTAGTGCAAAACATTAGCGAGAGAAGCTCAAACTCAATTAAAGTGTAGTACATCAAAGTGCGATAAGTGACTAAAATACGTAATTATAGCATACCATCAACACCCCACACTTAAACCACTGCTCGTCCTCGAGCAATCAAACTACACTTAATATTGACACGACCTTTTTAAACAATTCTCCTAACTCATCACACCAAGAATATTTAAATAGACTAAGCACAAGAGTGTAACATCTTCACCTCAAGATTTAACTCACAAGTACCACGCATTATTCACAACTCACTCACTTACTCTAACATAGAGGTCAATGACATTGTCTTTCCTTCATGAATCAAGTGCCCTCACACAACAAACGAGAGTAGTTCCACACACAATAAAATTTAAGAACAATTAGGAACGCGAGATAGAAAGAACTCGCTCACTCTTAGAAATAACATTCATATGCCACAAAAGATGCACCATAAGCTTTCCCTTAGTGTACTACTCTACTAATCGAGCTCATTCAGTCTAGGATCAAGTAAGACTTTAATTGGTTGTATTGTAGGCTGCGGGACGGGTAGGATACATTTAGATATAAGAGTGACTACACCTCCCTAAGCACTTTAATACATACACTTGGGGATATAAAATCCCACACTTATCTCAAACCTTAACTCCACCTCCACATCAATGTATATTAAATCCATACTTCTTTAAGCACAATTACATCAAGAGTTACCACTATCAAGGATTACTTTTCACAGCAATACAACTATTTTTTCTTTCTATTTCAATTCAAGTGGCTCTTACTTTTTCAAAACAATGCACCTTTCTCCTTATTGCATTAGTTCCACTCAAAAGCGAAGCCAACCACCCCACAATTTAACTTTTACAAAGTTCATTATAATTCAAGTGCTCATAAGAGGTGAAAAGGTTCAAATAGATGGTTAATTAAAATAAATTATAAGGCTTGTAATGTGGCTGCCAAAGAAACAGGATTACAGACTCAAAAGGGGTTAACTACGATACATAACACTTAGGCGGGTAAAATATATACATCTGGCTCAACAAAGAAATGCCTATATCACTTCCAAGACTGAACAAAACTACTATTTCGCTTTGCAAACACACGGGGCAAGTTCTAGACATCATTTGCAATGTACATAATAACACACAAACCTCACACACACATGGCACATAACTCACTCAGGATTGGACTTATCAAGACACTCTAGTCAAAGCAGTTAAGTATACTTAAGATCATACAATTTAAGGTACTTCTACAAGAGTCAAAAACTGAGCCTAAGCATCACAACAAAGTACTCACTATTCTCAAGGCATAGCAAAGTCAAGATATATTGCTTCAATTCAAATCACAACACAATGGCTCCTACTCTGAAAAAAATAAAACTAACTACACCCGGTTCAAACAAAACCCTTGGAAAAAAACCGCGGCACAAAGAAAAACCAAGGGAGAATTATTACACTACCTAACAAAAGAAAATCTTTTTGTCTTTCTTCTTTCGACTTAAATCCCTCAAGAAAACTGTCGAATGAGATCCAATTGGCCCAGTTCGAACTCACGATGGTGGATATGCTTATCATGCCAGCGTTTTGTCTTTTCATTATATAACTTGCCATTCTCATACACGTGCAAGCGAAACTCATCAAGCTCATTCAATTGCATACCCGCTTTCTACTAGCTAATTTTGCATCAAAGTTCAGCTTCTTTATCTCCCAACAGGCCTTGTGCTCAAGTTCTACCGGTATATGGCATGCCTTGCCATAAACCAGCTTGTAAGGGGAGGTTCCGATTAAAGTTTTGTATGTGATCCAGTATGCCCACAGAGCATCATCAAGCTTTGCAGCCCAATCTTTCCTACTTGCACTAATTGTCTTCTCCAGAATCTGCTTTATCTCTCTATTTGACACTTCAACTTGTCCACTGGTCTGAGGATGGTAAGCGGTCGCAACCTTATATTTGACCCTGTATTTTGCGAAGACATTGTCCAATAGCTTGTTACAGAAATGGGTGCCCCTATCACTTATCATCACTCTCGGGGTGCCGAACCTTGTAAAGATATGTTTTTTCACAAAGTTGACCAAAACCTTGGCATCATTGGTAGGAAGAGCAATGGCCTACACCCACTTCGACATATAGTCAACGGCCACCAAAATATACTTACACCTACTGGACGAGGGAAACGGACCCATAAAATCAATTCCCCACACATCAAAAATTTCAACCTCCATAATACCATGCAATGGCATCTCATGCCTTTTCTTAATTGCTCCTATTCTCTGGCACCTATCACACCTCCTCACGAACTCATAGGCATCTTTAAACAACCTAGGCCAAAAGAAACCCGATTGTAACACCTTGGATGTCATTTTGTCACCCGCATGATGACCACCATAAGGCGATGCATGACAGTCCTGTAAGATAGCATTTATTTCACATTCGGGCACACATCTTCACATTAACTTATTGGTACAAGATTTGAAATGAAATGGCCCCATACATAAGATCTCACATCTCGCAAGGACTTCTTTTTAGCATGAGGTTCAAGATCAGGCGGCATTTCTCCACTTGCTAGATAGTTCATAAAATATGCATACCATGGCACCTCCCTAGCAGTAACGGTCAATAATAGCTCATCCGGGAAGGTTTCCTTGATGACATCTCCCTCAGCTACATGATTCCGAGTTTCTAACCTGCACAAGTGATCAGCCAATTGATTCTCTGTTCCTTTACGGTCTCGGATCTCCAGGTCAAATTCCTACAAGAGTAAAACCCTACGGATTAGCCTTGGTTTAGCATCTTTCTTTTCAAAAAAATACCTGATGGTTGCACGGTCTGTGTAGACGATGACTTTGGTGCCAACCAAATAGGCCCGATATTTATCGAACTCCAACACTACAGCGAGCAACTATTTTTCTATCACAGTATAATTTATTTAAGCAGAGTGAGAGTCTTGCTTGCATAGTAAATGGAATGAAATATTTTGCTCCTTCTCTGGCCTAATACGGCCCCAATGGCACCATCACTAGCATCACACATCAGCTCAAATGGATCATTCCAGTCAGGAGACACTATGATTGGTGCAGTCACTAACTTCTTTTTCAGCTCCTCCAATGCTTTCAGACAAGCATCGTCAAACTTGAACTGCATATCCTTCTCCAACAACCTACACAAAGGAGAGGAAATTTTTTAGAAATCCTTTATAAATCGGTGATAAAAATATACATGTCCCAAAACACTCCTAAATCCTTTCACTTAGATCGGTTGTGGAAACTTTTCAATTGTTTCCACCTTAGCCTTGTCAACCTCGAGTCCATCTTTGGACACCTCGTGCCCCAGCACTATACCTTCATGTACCATAAAATAGCATGTTTTCCCAATTCAGTACCAGATTAGTCTCCTCGCACCTAGCAAGCACTTTAGCAAGATTGGTCAAGCATTCATCAAAAGAAGGACCAAACACAGAAAAATCATCCATAAAGACCTCCACAAACCATTCCACCATATCGGTGAAAATAGACATCATACACCTTTGAAAAGTCGCAGGTGCATTACACAACCCGAATGGCATTCTCTTAAATACATAAGTGCCATAAGGGCATGTAAAAGTGGTCTTTTCTTGATCTTCCGGGGCAATAGCAATCTGATTACACCCTGAATAGCCGTCAAGGAAACAATAGTATTCCTGTCCGGCTAACCTGTCAAGCATTTGATCAATAAAGGGGAGAGGGAAGTGATCTCTTCGTGTAGCATTATTCAACTTCATATAATCTATGCATATTCGCCTGCCAGTCACAGTCCTAGTTGGATTAATTCATTTTGTTCATTCACTACAACAGTCATACCCCCCTCTTTAGGTACACATTGAACAGGTCTTACACACTTACTGTCGGAGATAGGAAATACTATACCTACGTCGAGCCACTTAACACTACGAAAACAACTGGAATTAGCTACGAACGTTGTCGCTAACTGTCGCTAAAACGCTCGTAGCTAGCAAAATTTCTTGATAATCCGTTGCTTATCCGTTGCTAAATGAAATTAGCGACAGATTTTTCTGTTTAGCTACAGAATTTAACCGTCGCTAAAACCTGATTTTTTACTAGTGTAATCACTTCATTTCTTACCACCTCTTTCATGATTGAATTTAGGTGGCATTGATGTTCCACGCTACGCTTCTGTCCCTCCTCCATGAGTATTTTGTACATGCAGAATGCAGGGCTAATACCCTTTATGTCAGACATTCTCTAACCAATGGCATGCTTGTGCTCCCTCAGCACTCTTAAGAGCTTTTCTTCCTACAATTCAGACAAATGAGAAGAAACAGTCACATGTAAAGTGTTAGAACTTCCCAAATATGCATAATGAAAATGAGACGGTAAGGGTTTAAGTTCCAGTTTTGGGGCCTTCTCAACTGAGGGTTTAGGGGGCGGGCCGATTGACCTATCCAAAAGCTCAAACTGGGATCCTTCTCTTATGTATTCGCAAGATGCATCCAGAATTTGCAGCATCTCCTCAACCTCTTCTTCAAGTTCCAAGTGATTGAACAACATCAATGCCTTTTCTAGTGCATCTTCTTTAAACAGATTTGGCTCTACGGCTGGTTCATTTATCTCCACCACAGAAATCATGGCCAGGTCCTCGTAATGATGAGGCAACTGAATAGCTCGATATACATTGAAGACTGCTTCTTCATTGTCCACCCTCAGGATCATCTTACCTTCTCAGACTTTGATAATTGCATCTCCAGTGGCCAAGAGAGGTCGACCCAAGATGATAGGAACTAACTCATCAGCTCGTAGTCTAGGATGATAAAATCTGCAGGGAAAATAAACTTCCCAATTTGCAGCAAAACGTCCTCAAGTACCCCCTCAGGATAAACATAAGATCTATCAGCTGACTGTAGCATCACCGTGGTGGGTATCGGAGCTCCTAAGCCCAATTGTTTGAACACTTACAACGGCATCAGATTGATATATGCACCCAAATAACATAAAAGGATCTACCCACATCAATTTCAGCAATCCTCACGGGGATGTTAAAACTACCTGTATCCTTAAGCTTTTGTGGAAGCATATATTGAATCCTGGAAATGCACTCCTTAGTAAGTGCGACGATCTCAAACTTAGTTAACTTCCTCTTATTTGACACTATATCCTTAATATATTTTGCATATTTTGGTACCGTACGGAGCATGTCCACCAAAGGGATGTTCAAGTGTATCTGCTTCAGCATATCTAGAAATTTGTGAAACATGTGGTCATCATTCTTCTTTCTCAATCTTTGAGGAAAAGGGGGAGGCACCCTCTCTGATATGTGCTCAGACTCTGTTTTGTTTCTTTCATCTACCTATATAGGTTTTGGCACTCTTTCTTCTTCGACACCATTCTACCCCTTTTTCTTCTTAGGTACTTCTACCAAATCTCTCCCATTTCTCAACGTTACTGCATTGACTTGAGGATTTTTCTCTATATCACTTGGGAAAGCTCCAGCAGGTCTAGTATTCTGAGTGTTAACCATTTGGCAAACTGCCTCTCTAGATTTCTGAACTCTGTGCACAATTGTTGATTCTCAACCATAACTTTCTGATTATCTAGCAAGAGCTTTTTCATCATGTTAGTCAAGCTCTCTTCTGCTTGCTGTGGGGGTTTAGGTCACTGATTGTAATTAGCTTGAGGCCTGATATTCTTATTTCCACCCCAAGAGAAGTTAGGATGATTCCTCTAGTTCTGATTGTATGTGTTACCATATTGAGCATTTTGATTTATCGGCCCTCTAGCTTGTTGCCCCACATAGTAGATGGATTCACGGGGCATATGTCACTTGTGTGACCTTCACCATATAGCTCGTAGCAAGTAGACATATGTTGCACATGATGCATCTGTTGTGCTTGGTGCATTGTCATTTTGTTCATCTGATTTTCTAATCTTGCTATATCTGCCCTCATGGATGATAAATCATTAAGCTCAATCACACTTGTTGCCTTTTGTTTAAGTGCTCTTCGTGGTTCCCCATCTCCTTGCCAATTATTATCATTAGGATTAAAATTGTTTAGCATGATCTGGATTTCACTATACAGTCTTTCCATGCAACTACCCCCACATACAGAGTCAAGATTCATCTTTGATGCCTCATCCAACCCATCAACGAAAGTGTGACCCAACACCTCAACAGTTTGACAATGATGTGGGCAGTCTCTGAGTAGCTTCTTGTATCTTTCCCAAGCTTGACGAAGAGTCTCACCATCTCATTGTTCAAACCCAAGAATATGGCTCCTCATGGACTTTGTCTTCTTAGTGGAAAAAACTTTGATTAAGAATTTCCTTGCTAGATCATCCCAAGTGATGATTGAGTTTGGGGCTCTTTTTGCAACCATTCCTTAGCTTACCCAGCAATGAAAAGGGAAACAGTGACAGCCTGACATAGTCCTTGGAAACGTTCGGATAATTTTATGTGTCCATAATTTCCAGAAAGTTCTGAATGTGCCTTTGCGGATCTTCATGAGATAGACCAACATACTGCACGGTGGATTGAATCAGTTGTACCATGTACTGTTTGAGTTCAAAGTGACATGTGATATCAGGCTTCACAATGCCTGAGTCATATTAGCAAGATTAGGCCTTGCAGCTTCTATCACCGGACGCTCTTCATTACCTTCCATCTCTATTGGCTGTGGTTGAACTACGATGTCCAACTCTCTTTCTATTCCAGTTCTAGCTTCGACTTCCCTCCTCACTCTGCCAAGTGTTTGTTCAATTTCCGGATCAAGAGGAAGGAGATTGTTTGCACTTCTACTCCTCCGCATTCAAGAGAAGAGCCCACATTATCACAAATAAGGCAAACTAAAAATTAAAACTTGAACAAATAACGAATAAAAGTTTAACTTTAGAAAACATCAATAACTAAGTCCCCGGCAACGGCGCAAAAAATTTATTGCGACCAAACACACACGCAAGTATACGTGGTTGTCAAGTAATAAAGTGACTCGAAAGTCGGATGTCGAACCCATAGAGACTTAGATTGATCGTTAACTAAGCAAACTAAAATCAATTAATTGTCCAAGATAATCAATAGTGATGTTTTTCTATTAATCTACAACTGTGGAAATTAAACAAGTAACAACTAATTTAACAAGAATGCAAATGTGTATGATGAGATCTTAATTCAGAGGAGATGAAGATTCCAGGGGTGTGGTTGGTTTATCAATCCTATTAAGTTTAATAATCACACTCATTAATCTACATTATCTATGGTTGTTAATTAACCGGATCGTTTATATGAATAGCATGTTCCAAAAATACTACTCGCCTATCCACAATATATCAATCCTATATTTCTATGGTATTGAATCTATCATGAACGAATATAATATGGCATTCCACTAAGCAAGGTTGTTAGGTATATTCCAATTCTAACCGCGAAATCTTTCCCCGATCCACGGGTTCAGAAATAAGTTCTCTTTAATTCTACTCTAATCTAAACACGGCTTTCCCAATCATAGCATAGATACTAGGGTGAATTGGTAGCTACAATAATTCACAAGTTAAAACTAGAATTAAAGAAACGACCATAAGATGATAATCCAAATTAACATAGATGTACTTAATAAACTTTAATAATCATGTCAACCACAACCCTAGAAACTAGAGTGCTTAGCTACTCATGTTCGTAGCAACAATTTTCCAAGTATTTTGCATAAACAAATTACAAAAAAAAAAAGATGAAGGAATTAAGAACTCGATGATTTTCTCCTCCAAAGAATGCTCCAAACGTCTTCTCCCTTCCAAAATAGTCTACCTAGGTCTAAGTTGTGTCAAAAGTTCTCTAAAAAAACATTTTTACATATATTTATACCAAGTAGGGACGGGCCCAGACGAAAACACTTTTCCTGTGCGAAATACGATTCCGGCAATGTAAAAATTGCACAGCCGCGCAGCATGGGGTAACGTGCCAGGAGGGGAATTTGTGGGGATTATCATAGAGCATGCAAAATTGAGGCAGCAGAATTTTTGGGCAGTCGCGGTGCCCCACGCGTGCTGTGGGTTTTTCTCAAAGCCGGCTTTTGCTTTGTTTTTGAAGCCAGACGTGGTCCTCGACCCCCAAATGCGATCCCGGCTTAATCCTTTGGGATTTTACTCAGACTTCAAAGCTCCAAATAGCTCGAATTTATTCCATAATATCTACATAGCTCGGAATCACTCCTACAAGGCATAAAACACGCAATTAGTGCAAAACACTAGCAACTGAAGCTCAGACTCAATTAAAGTGTAGCAAATTAGAGTACGATAAGCAACTAAAATACGTAATTAGAGCCTACCATCAATCCAGATATTGATACTATAGCGCGTGAGTTGTCCGTGCAGCACGTGAGTATTTCGTGCGAATTATGGCGTTTGGGCTGAAGAAGCCCATCCGTAGTCTATACACACCCCCAGTGAGCGCAGGTACCTACTGCGTGCGAGTGCTGAGTACCGAGTGCTGAGTGATCGAGAAAGGCTGAGGGACTGTAGCTCTGAGAGGATGCTTTTGATTTCATTATTGCTGCACTTAGCTGCAATATATCACTGTCCTCAAATTTCTGAAAGATATTATATTTTGCTTTACTTGAACTTGACATGAGGTAACTGATTTGACCCGAACTATCGAACTTGAAAGCATGCCTACCTTCCTATGTTGAAATTGTTGTAATTGAACTATAGCTGTGAAGCTCGTCACTACTTTCAGTTCTTTATTTAGTTTTGTTACTTACTGAGTTAGTTGTACTCACGCTACACCCTGTACTTCGTGTGCAGATCCAGGTATTTTCGGACATGGTGGGTGTTGATTCCTTGCTCAGTTGACCGTTTGGCGATTACGAGGTAGCTGCCCGACGTTTCGCAGAGCTCGTCTCTCCTTCCTTATATTTCCGTTTATTGTATTTAGTTCCAGACCATCATAGACAGTATTTTTCCAAACTTGTGATGTATAGATGCTCATGAACTCCGTCACACCCCGATGTTGGGAATTTCTGCGTTATGTTTTGGGTTTTCTATCTCGTTTATGAGAACTTTTATTATTTAAAACTGCTTTAACTCATTTTTTATTAAAAGTGTTGGAATATTTTGAAATGTCGGCTTGCCTAGTACCACATTAGGCACCATCATGATGGATTAGGATTTTTGGGTCGTGACATTTATCCACCTAATTAATGTATATCTTAGTTAGCCCTGTTGAGCATGTATTCCTATTTCTTTGGCAACCACACTACAAGCTTGACCCCATTGTTTGAATTGTCTATCTGTTTGAACCATTTACCTCTCTTGAGCATTTGATTTTGTTATGGCTTGCAAAAGCTAAGTTGAGGTATGGTCAAGTTTTCGAGTGGAACTATTGAAAAAGTAGAAAGGTGCATTATTTGAAAATTTGTGAGAGCCACTTGTAGGGATTGAAAGAAAAAAAAATGTTAGTTTGCTTGAAGAAGAGAAAAGAATTAGAACTTTGAAAAGAAAAAAAATTGATTCCTTACTAATGGTTGTTCTCATCTTATTTGTGCTTAAAGATATTGGGAGCTTGATTCTATTTTGTGGGTTTGGGTCAGCACAAGTTTGAGGTTTTAAAATGTGTTAATGTATATATATTAAAGTGCTCAGGGAGGTGTAGTCACTACATCCAAATATATCATACACGTCTTGAAGCCTACATTACAAGCCTATGGTACGTCTTTTGTAGCACATCAATTTTATTTATGAGAGTGAGTTAATTCTATCTATATTGAGTTCCTATTTGTTCTTGAATTTTATTGTGTATGGAACTATTCTCTACTGTTTGTGAGAGGGCACTTGATTTGTGAAAGTAAGGTAAAGTCTTTGACCTCTGTGTTAGAGTAAGTGAGCAGGTTGTGAAAAATGCGTGGTGCTTTTGAGTCGAGTCTTGAGGCTAGGATGTTATGATATGGTGATTAGTCTATTTTAAATATTCTTGGCATGATGTGTTAGGGAAGTTTTCTTATAAGAAGGTCATCTCTATATGAAGTGCAGTTTGATTGCTCAAGGATGAGCAATGATTTAAGTGTGGGGTGTTGATGGTAGGCTAGAAACCCGTGTTTTAGTCGTAGTTTGCACTCCAAATACTGCATTTTATTTGTGTTTGAGCTTAAATGTTAGTGTATTGCACTTATTATGTGTTATATGTCTTGCAGGAAGTGATTTCGAGTTAAAAAGATAATTTGGAATGAAATCGAACAATGTGGGGCTTTG